AAAAAAAAAAAAAAAAACTTGTTTGTTTTTCTCTTGTTAATCTGCCTTTTGTTATAGGGGTCTGGTCCAACTAAGAACTTATGAGGGTTGAGGAAAACATGATTTTCCTCCCCTGTAACATTGTCAACGTTAATACTGATTAAGGCATGGACCAAGGCTTATAACCTGGTTATTTTTAATTTTAGTTTTTGAGATGGATTCTTGCTCTGTTGACCAGGCTGGAGTGCAATGGTGTGATCTTGGCTCACTGCAACCTCCGCCTCCAGGGTTCAGGTGATTCTCCTGTTTCAGCCTCCCAAGTAGCTGGGATTACAAGCACACACCACCACACCCGGCTAATTTTTGTATTTTTAGTAGAAATGGGGTTTCACCATGTTGGCCAGGCTGGTCTTGAACTCCTGACTTCAGGTGATCCACCTGTGTTGGCTTCCCAAAGTGCTGGGATTACAGGTGTGAGCCACCGTGCACGGCAAACCTGGTTATTTTTAAAGGGGCCACAGGTGGCTCAAATGTCTGGATAACCCCTGCATAACCTAACCACAGCCTACCCCCGGGCTGCATGTCCATCTGCCTGTCAGCACGCAGAAGTATCTCTGCCATGAACACTGGCCCTGGTTGACCTCTCAAACAGCTCTGAGACCCACAATGAGAAACCAGGCAACTCAGGCCCGGCTGCTCACTTGACCCACCTCCCACCAGGCAGCTCTGGTCCAGTTCCAACAAGAACCCACAGATCCACATAGATTCTGAAGTCAGTTCCCTCCTTCCCCATCCTATCCACAACATCAGACACCGCCCTTCCCTTCCTCTCTTTCCCACCAGCTCAGGTTCAGTGGCTTTTCTCAAAGGTAAGAAATCAGGCTTAGCTTTATAAACATCCTTGACTTCAGAACCTAATGGAACTTGTTCCTGGGAAACTTGAAAAGACAGAAGCTCACCAGGTGCCCTGCGAGCTGCTCTGAGCAGGGCTGGGAGCAGACACAGAACTGCACCATGGGAGCTTTCAGTGGCCAATCACTCCAGAGCCCTGCGGGTCTCAATCTGACAGCCGCTAACTCGCTGCTGTCGGGGAAAGAATCTGGAGTGAGAATTGGGGTGCAGAAGAAACCCGTAAACTCAGTTGCTCCCTGAGCTGTGACGGATCCATTTCCCATCCCAGGAGAACCACAGCTCTGCGTCCTGGCTGTGTAAGGAGGCTGCGGCAGCATCTCTCTCTCTAACTTGGAATAAATATGCAGATTTCATCCAAAGTGTCTACAGGAGACAATTTTACATAAAAATGTCACTGTTGAAAAGTTTTTCCAAATGGGAAAATGAGAATGAAAAGAACAACTGTTTTTACGCAGGATTGGCCCCTAGCTCGAGAGACTGAAGGCTCTCATTTCCGTTTCCCACCACCACTGCTGACGTGGCTCAAGCTGCCACTGACGTCCCCACTGTCCAGTGGCTCTGTGGTGGGACAGGGCAGAGCCTCTCTTTGCAGACAGAGGGGCCTGGGTCTGCAGTCCGGGAATGCTCACCTCCGGGGCCACGAAGTTGGCCGTGTAGCAGGGCGTCATGAGCAACCCGTTCCCCGCGCGCAGCTGCTTGGCAAAGCCGAAGTCGCAGACTCGGATGGATTCCGGGCTCCCCGACTCATCCCTGTACAGGATGTTACTCGGCTTCAGGTCTCGATGGACAACCTGCAAGGCAGAAGGCACGGTGCCTATGTGGGGGCCGAGGACTGAGCTGGAGAGGGAGGGCGGGTGCGTTTGGAGGGGAGGGGTGTTTTGGAAGTGTCTTCCCAGCAGGTCCGGCAATCAGGCAGCAGGCCAGCAGAGTCCACAGCTGCTGTCTTCTCCAGAGGACCCCCCACCTTCTCTCACTCTCCTACATTGGTCACTCATATCTGAGCCCCGGGAGTCACCTGCTTTTACAGTGAATGAATATTTGAATAAATAAGCGGACACCTCTCCAAGATGGGGCCTCAGCTTACTGGAGCTGTTACATAAACAGAAATGTGGTGAGCCCTGGTGGTGGGAATGAAAAACATTTTAAAGATGATATTCATTCAGTAACTATTCCCTGTGTGCCCGCCCCGTGCACTGCTGGGTGTTAGAGCTGTGCCGGTGAGTGGCACAGACCAGGCACCTGCTGTCCTGGGCGCACCAACCCATGGGGGAGATGGACCAGGGCCACGCGATCACTCAGTCACTCTGCAATCGTGCCTCGAGGCCTCCCACAGAGGACTGCGCTGGCTGCAATGCTGGTAGGGCCAGTATACCTCAAAGCACAGTGTTATTTAGAGCACAAAGCAATGTCTTCTGAGGGGACAGAGGGCCACTGTGAAGACATGTGGCGTGCCTTTGTACAGCTTGGATCTTGAACGCCTCAATTGTCCTAATAAAATCCAGTGGGAGGATGTAGAAGGGAATTAAAGGGACACCCTCTAGCAGTCAGGCCCGGTTGACAGAGGTCCTGATGGCAAGGAAATGAAAGATTGCGGCTTCACTTCCATTACCTCCCTCATTACATACGAGCAGATCAGCAGAAAACATCATCCGAAGGGCTTCCTCTGAGTCTGACTGTCGTGGGAAAACCAGGAAGTGCTTAATGGTCAAGACCACCGGGTGACCACCCAGAAGCGACCCAGTGTGTGGTCCTGGAAGCACGTTCTCCTCTTTGGAGATGACTGCATTCTGAAGGCTCAGGACCATGCACACAGCTGCCTAAGACTGGATTTCCTGCCTCAGGAGACACACTGGGAACAGTGGGCGCAGCGGAAACGTGTGATACGGCGTAGTCACCTAACTGGGAGGGCAGGGCCGGGACCGAGAGCACGGCCTGGAACCAGAGAGCCGGGGTCCAGCCCCACTGCCACCTCCTCATGTGCGACCTTGGACAAGATCCTCACGCTCCTGGGCCCCTGCACGGTGGGTGTGGTCTCGGGTTCAGAGTCAGCGAATCGAGAGCTTGCAGCACAGCCTGGATCACAGTGGGGCCCGCATCAACCCCAGGCATCAGAGCCACCCCGGCCTCAGCGTTTCTGTGCACCGGTTAATGAATTCAACTTTACCCACTGCAAGTAACGAAAATTCTCAGTTTCTTTTGATTAAGGCCAAAGCATTTCCTTGGCTAAAGTTGGTACAAATGATTTTAGACCCTCAAAGGGTAGCAGAGTCAGGCACCCCAAAACAAGCTGCTTTGGCATAAGGTTATTTTGAGCTGAAAACAACTGAAAAGATGCAGATGTAAGCAAAGCTCTCTGCCCTCCCCCACTCTGCCTAAAAACGGGATATAAATGGGTAAAGGTGTCCCTTCTGTCCTCTTTGTTAGGAAGGACGGAAGGGGAACGCTAGACCCTTGCAGCCTGCAGAAGCCACCAGAAATATCTCCATGACAAATGTTCCTAACTTGCCCTCATCTTCCATTAGTTTCCCATAGACTTAGCATCCCACAGTTTGCTGCCCTAAAAACTCAGTCCTTTTTCTTTAAATATTATTATTCTTTTAAATGTTTTTTTTAATTTGAGACAGAATTTTGCTCTGTGGCCCAGGCTGGAGTGCAGTGGCATGATCCTGGCCACTTGCAACCTCCACCTCCTGAGTTCAAGCAACTCTCCTGCCTCAGCCTCCTGAGTAGCTGGAATTACAGGCATGCACCACCATGCCCGGCTAATTTTTGTATTTTTAGTAGAGATGGGATTTTGCCATGTTAGTTAGGCTTGTCTCGAACACCTGACCTCAGGTGATTCACCTGCCTCAGCCTCCAAAAGTGGTGTGATAACAGGTGTAAGCCACTGCGCCTGGCAACGTTATTGCTCTTTTGTTAAAATGCTACGTAAGCTCGAGTTCTAAGAACCTGGAGTTACTCATGGCTGAGTGCTCCCGTGTGTGTGTGACATGCGCATGTTAACAGACTTCGGTTTTTCTCTTGTTAACCTGTCTTTGGCCAATCTTGTTTACAGGGCCTCCACCAAAGAATTAAGATGGGCAGAGGGAAAAGAGAACTTTTCTTCCCCTGCACCGTCACCGAGCCACCAGACACAAGGGGGATGATGGTGGCACGGAAGGAATCCCAGGACAATCTGCATTCTCAGCTCTTGAACCCACAAACCCTGTGGTTTCGGTTTCTGCCCTGAAGCTCCTGCCTCCCTGACGGCTGGCCCAGGCGCGGCTCCTACCCCCTGGGAGTGGAGGTAGTCCATGGTCTTGGTGATGGTGCACAGCACGTCACTGGCCTCGCGTTCCGAGAAGTATCTCTGCCGAAGGATGCGGTCCAGGAGCTCCCCACCGCGCATCAGCTCCATCACCAGGTACACGAACTTGCCATCATCATAGACCTGCGGGGTGGAGACGGAGTGCACACAGGCCTCAGGGACGGGCACGTCACTGTGGCTGGTTACTGCGAAAGGGCAACCTCTCCAGAAGGGACAGGAGAGGGATGTCAGAGGGGAGAGGCTGGGATGCAGGGCCTCTAGGAGTGAAACCAAGGCTTCTGCAGGGAAGAAGCAAATGGCCATTCCTGTCATACCAGATGTGATTTCCTCTTTTTAGGAAGAAAATGCCTTTAATAATCCACTGCTAAGCAGGGACTCAGTAAGGGCATATGAGACGGACGTGTCCTTAGCTGAGATGAATGGCTTCATGACTCTGCCAAGAGATATTTATTATTTATTTATTATTATTATTTTTTGAGATGGAATCCCACTCTGTCACCCAGGCTGAAGTGCAAAGGCACCATCTCAGCTCTCTGTAACATCTGGCCCCCAGGTTCAAGCAATTCTCCTGCCTCAGCCTCCTGAGTAGCTGGGATTACAGGCGCACACCATCATGCCAGACTAATTTTTATATTTTTAGTAGAGACGGGGTTTTGCTAAGTTGGTCAGGCTGGACTCAAACTCCTGATCTCAACTGATCTGCCTGCCTTGGCCTCCCAAAGTGCTGGGATTACAGGCGTGAGCCACCGCGCCGGGCCAATTCTATTCCAAGCTTGCATGTTAAGACCATTTGCATACACTTATCACTCTGCATGAGGGAAACTGAGGTAGGCCCAATATCTGTGGCTCTAGGTTCATGATGCTGGAATCATTTTGGAGTTGGAGTGTGAGGAGGAAAGCTGTCTCCCCTCTCTGCTCCCGCATCCCACGTGCAGCACCCCATGGGCCTCTAAGGTGCTGTGGGACTTTCTGAATGGTTCAGTGTGCCTGGTTCCTGCTCCCCACCCTACCCTAGAGAAAATGACCCCAATCTCCCAACAGAGAAAGCCACAGAAGCTTTGAGAAGCTCCAAGCCAGGGCTGCGATCTGAGTGTGGGATGTAACCCACACCCTCACATCTGTTCCTGCCTTTCCAGGTTTGCCATGTGTAGGAAAGACAAGGAGAGACTCCACCTGTGGCCTGTAATTCACACAAGCCATCCCTTCCTCTGTTTCACTCGCAACCTCCATGACGGGGCAATGCCTATGGAAGAGATCTGAGTACACAGTCCTGCAAGTTAGTTCCAAGTGTCTGAGGGGTGTGGGTGGTGGAAACCAGCTCAGACAGGCATGAGATGTGGGAAGGCGTGCTTGGCACGAATGGGAACATTTTTGTGTCGGTTGAAGAAACAGCAGGAAGTGGGGTGCTGCCGCTGGAGACACTCACGTCCTTGAGGGTGATGATGTTGGGGTGCTGGCCGTACCGCAGCAGGATCTCGATCTCTTCTGAGGGGTCTCTCTTGCTCTTATCGATGATCTGGAACAGACACAGCACGTGGCAGTGACAGGTCTACTTTTGTTTGGGTGCTATCTGCTGGTGGACCCTTGCGTCTGGATAAAGTCTGGCCCCAGAGGACCCAACCACTACAATCTCACACCCGACCAAGAGATAACTTGAGACTGCCTGGAAATTCATGGCAAGTCCTTTCTTTTACAACTAGTTTAAGATTTACAATTAAAAAGAGGAGTACAGGCCAGGCAAGATGGCTCACGCCTGTAATCCCAGCACTTGGGGAGGCCAAGGCAGGCAGGTGGCTTGAGGTCAGGAGTTCAAGACCAGCCAGCCTGACCAACATGGCAAAACATGGTCTCTACTAAAAATACAAATATTAGCCAGACATGGTGGTGCGTGCCTGTAATCCCAGTCGCTTGGGAGGCTGATGATGAGAATCACTTGAACCTGGAAGGTGGTGGTTGCAGGGAGCTGAGATAGTACCACTGCACTCCAGTCTGGGTGACAGAGAGAGACTCTGTCTCAAAAAAAAGAAAGAAAGAAAGAAAAAGAAGTACACGAATTTTAAGACATTGTAAGGCTGGGTGGAGGCGCATGTGTAGGGAGCTCATGCAGGTGCACCAAATAACAGAATGCGTCCCGCGCTCCACAGCAGCCACCAGCCACTGCGCACCTCCTGCCTTGTTCAGGGAGTTACAAACCAGCCACAGAATGAGCTGAGGCGCACGGCTGTCACCAAGAGATGCTGGGGATAGTGTGAGGACCAGACCTGCCCTGTTGTTCCCATATGCAAACTCCCCTCCCCCGCCCAGCATCTCCATCCGATGTCTTAGGATAACAGATAAAGTTGCTTCAACGCCATGAAGACATATGGTTTCCGAGGACAGGGTGTCGTGATTTAAGCCTGCCTTGGAAGCAGGAAGTCACTGTTGGCCTCTGGTAGCGAATCCCTCTGGAGGTGCCTAAGTCCCGCCCTGCTGTGGAACAGGACCAGTGGGAGGAGGGCACCCCACTCACGGGAAATCAGCAACATGTATGTTGCAAACAACACTCAGAACAGAAGAAAAGCAATGGGAAACACCTTCCTAATCATGATTTGTACTATTCTTGCACATTAGTTCAACCTAATTGTCAAATAGTCACTATCTGGAGAATGTGCAGTCACTTTACTACTAGAATATGAGGGTGATTTGCTTTTAACTTCTATCATATCAAAGTCTCTAAGCAGAGCTTTGTATAACACTCCATTTCTTTATTTTTTTTAGAGACAGGGTCTCTGTTGCCTAGGTTGGAGTGCAGCGGTGCAAGCTTGTATGCTTACAGCTCACTGCAACATCAAACCCCTGGGCTCAAGCGATCCTCCTGCCTCAGCCTCCAGAGTGACTAGGACTACAGAGGTATGCGCCACCACACTCGGCTATTTTTAAGTTATCTGTAAATATTGGGTCTTGTTGTGTTGCCCAGGCTGGTTTCGAACTCCTGGCTTCAGTGATCCTCCAGCTTCAGCCTCCCAAAGTGCTGACGTAACAGGTGCGAGCCACCACACCTGGCTGTGTCTTTACTTTAGAGAACCAAACGCTTGTGTAGCATTTGACGCACTGCTCGTACTCTGTCCCCTAGTCACCCTTCCTCCGCCCCGTCACCATTATAAAAAATCACCACAGTGCCAGTTCTCACCCCATTACAGTTTTAAAGGATGCTCTGTCACGGCCACCACTCAGCTCTGACTGCATCTGTGGCCCGCGATGTGTGAGTCCTAACAGCTTGTGTTGTTAAACAGACAGAAAAGTTAGAGTCCCTTTCTGGACACAACATTTTTCTCCTTTGGCTGCATTTAATCCTACAAAAGTTTTAGCGAGGGCACTAGGATTATTTCCATTACCAACATAAATGCATCATTCTCAAGTAGAGACCTTTTAAAAAATCACTGAAGGAGGAGGGGTGGGGAATGCTCCTTCATGTTCCACAGCCTTAGTTCCGGGTCCTGGGGGGCTAGTCCTGCACTCCTTAGAGGGGAAGCTGGCTGTCAGGTGCCTGAACTCCGCTGCTCCCCGCTGCGTGGGCGTATCCTGTCTCTCTAGGATCCTCTCTTTGCAATTGGAGAAGGTTAAAATACATTTATGGATTTTTTTTTTTTTTTTTTTTTTTGAGACGGAGTTTCACTCATGCTACCCAGGCTGGAGTGCAATGGCACGATCTCGGCTCACCGCAACCTCCGCCTCCTGGGTTCAGGCAATTCTCCTGCCTCAGCCTCCTGAGTAGCTGGGATTACAGGCACACGCCACCATGCCCATCTAATGTTTTGTATTTTTAGTAGAGACGAGGTTTCACCATGTTGACCAGGATGGTCTCGATCTCTTGACCTCGTGATCCACCCGCCTCGGCCTCCCAAAGTGCTGGGATTACAGGCTTGAGCCACCGTGCCCGGCCTACATTTATGGATTTTTATAAAAAATTCAGTAGAAGATGTTTTCTCACAAACGTGACTTTATGATAAAGGGATGTGCTCTTAGCATGAATCTGTTTGGTCACTCTCATGACGGAATAGGATGCAGAGTAGCCAAGAAAGCGGAAGCCTTCCCACCACCGCCAGGGACGGTCTTCAAGATACACCGCGTGAAAGAGGTTGCTGGGGAGCAGGTGCTCCCTAAGCCATCCCTTGTTTTAAAAGCGAAGAGAAGAATGCAAATAGACACGTCTATTTCCTTGTGGGTGCATAAAATCACCCTGGAAGGAAAGAGGAAACATTCAATTGCCTGGGCTGCCTGTGAGGAGGGGAACAGGTGACTGGGGGCCACGGTGGAAGGGAGACCTTGCTGTATGCGCATGAATTTTGCAAAATTTTGAACCACAAGAATATATTGTCTATTCAAAAGTTAAAGAAAGATTTTCATAATGTATTTTGTAAGCTGAAATTGGAGGACAATGCGACTACTATTTTAAAGAATCTGGGACTACAGACACGCCCTATCAACGCTGGTGTCTATTTTATTTCTATATGTTCTTCTGTTGTGAGTCTTACGAAAAAGTCTGACTTACAGTAATAAGTATTGGTGAACAGTTTTCAAAGATGGGTTACCTTAAAATCTTGCTTACTTTAAAAACTATTTTCATTTGTAATAAAAGCTAGCATGTATGTGCGCATGTGAGGTACACTGAATTTCAACCCATCCCAGCTGCTGTCCCGGTCTCTGTTGGAATCTGATACACATTGGAGCATGCATGTTGGCTTTTAGTACATTTTAAATGGATTAGTTAAGACATTTTCAAAATTATTTAATTGCTTGGCAGAACCCCCAAAGCACCTCTGTCCACAACCGAATACCACACACCAGCTGTTCTCTGAGGTGGTTTTGGGAAAATGGAGGAAAGTGAAAGAAGCGCGCAGGCCCAGGTCCTGTGCGAGCAGGAGGTCATCTGGAGGAGACCCCAAGGGGCCCATGAGTAGGGCTGTGTCTCTCCGCAGGGCAGAGCCAGTGGACTTTCAGCAAACATCTGGTTTGCTCCCAAGGGGAAGTCAGGTTTGCTGTCTGAGGCAAGAACACCGCTGTGGGTGTGGCCTGTGGCTATGACATTGCTGGTGGATGAACGTGGGTGTCTGCAGGCCCAGCTCCCGTGGAGGGATGGGAAGGTGGAGGAAGGCGTCACTCCTGGGAGGCCACTGCAGCATGGTTGATGGCCCAGCCGTGGAGGCAGTCTGGACCCAGCTGAGACCTGGCCTCCCTGCCCACTCTCGTGGGGTTGCAGCAGCTCCCCGCACCTCTCCGAACCTAGCTTTCTTCATCTGTAAAAACTAGGAAACAGCAGGCACTCCCCTGGGTCACTGTTAAGATTTAGCAAATTAATGTGAATCGATCCCTTCATATTCTCCCTGGTGCAAGGAGAAAGCACTTGGTAGGAGTGAGTTATTCTTATGACAGAGATAAAATAGAATTACACTGATGCCCCCAGGCAAGGGACCAAGTGGCTGTGACCTGCCACGTTTACAGCCCTGAAATGCCGCCTTGGGTCCTGTCTCTGAATCTTCACTGCAAGTCAGTGCCATGAAGCAGTGTGATGTTCGAAACTAACGTCAGCAGTAGAGCGCGTTTCAGTGAAAGCGCCAGGGAAAAAAATTCAGATATCACACCAACTGGGTCAACCCAGAGGGCTTCATTAAGGGACTATCTGCAAAAGAGTGGAGTGGCCAGAGGGTCAGTGGCTGGCGAGCAAGGCACGTTGTCATGCCTTGGGGGCAGTCCTGGCTCCCAAGACCAAAGAGCTGCACAGGGGCGGTTACAGTGCCAGAAGGGGTTGCTCTGGGTGGGGAGGTGCACTGGGACAGGGGCTGTGGGCAGAAAGGCCTTGGCCCCATGCTTCTCTTCCCACCCTGGTGGTGTCTGTCTTGCATTAGCAGAACTGCCCGGAAGCCAGAGGCGTGGAAGTAGCCCATAATAGTCAGCCTCCTGGCTTCCTTGCTTCCCGGCCTCCCAGCCTCCCAGCCTCTGGGGCACAGGGAAGCGAGGAGGGTGGGTTTATAGGGGTAATGGTGACCCCCATTCTGGAAGGGAAGTCCCACAGTGGAGTAGGAATAGGTTCTCACATCATCCTCCTGGGCTTCTGCCTTCCCCTGCCCTGGGCGGAATTGTTCCAAATCAAGCCTGCACAGACAAGGCTCGGACCGAAAGTGGCAAGGCAGTTCCGATCCCTTGTTTCCCTCCGGATGTCGTCAGGAAGTGCCGGCTGCTTTTCCCTGGAACTCTTTTGCAGAATTTTTTTTTTTTTGCTTTTGTTTTTATTTTTGCAGGGAGCTATTCGAGAAAGGTAAGGATGGAGAGAGCTCACACAGGGAGTGAGCCATGAGCTGTGGCTACAGTCTCACAGCACAAGACCAGGATCTGCTGCGGGGAGCCGGGTTTGGGTACAGTGTTTATGAGCACCAGGCAGTGAGTTATTCTCTGTGGGGTCGGTTTCTTGGGTTGACCATGTTGGATTTGCTCTTATTAGAGCAAGCTCTGGTAGATGGCATTCCTCATTCTGAGAAT